TGAAGGAGCAGACATCTGCTGTGCGTCTAGACGCTGACACCTGATCAACTTCCTCCTGATTATCCCTTAAACTCAGAACAGAACAGATGCAGCTTACCTGAGCCAAACACCTGATTCACTGAGATCAGTAGAGCCAAAGGCCAAATCAGACCACACTAATTTTATAGTACAGATCATTTACACGTGAGCAGCTCATTGTGTGCCGTGTCTTCAGTGTCTCAGAGCGTCTCTGTTCACAGTAAATGCTGCTTATCACAAACTCCATATCTGCATCTGTCGGAGTTTAAATCTTAAGACAAAACGGCTCTATATCCAGTATTTGTACAGTATCATATGTTACCCTGGACCACAAAACCAGTCACAGTGATCAATTTTTCAAAATTGAGATTTATACATCCTCTGAAAGCTGAATAAATAAGCTTTCCATTGTGTATGGTTTGTTGGGATAGGACAATATTTGGCAGAGATACAACTATTTGAAAATCTGGAATCTGAGGGTGCAGAAAAATCTAAATATTGAGAAAATCATCTTTAAAGTTGTCCAAATTAAGTTCTTAGCATGCATATTACTAATCAAAAATGAAGTTTTAATATATTTACAGTAGGAAATGTACAAAATGTCTTCATGGAACATGATCTTTACTTAATATCCTAATGGTTTTTGGCATAAAAGAAAAATCTATAATTTTGACCCATACAATGTATTTTTGGCTATTGCTACAAATATACCCCAGTGACTTAAGACTGCTTTTGTGCTCCAGGTTCACATATAGTGTTTTTAACTCTGTGTATCTTTTTCACAGGTGTGAGATCCTGGCTGGTCAGAAGAGAGATTAAGAAATGGCACAAAGCTGCATCAGTCATCCAAACCAAATGGAGGCGCTGGAGGGTAAGCATTGTGCTGATGTTTATTTTTATTAATAAAATGCTGGACAGGACTTGATTTTCTCTTTTGGGAATTGATTGGATTGTGAAGACAGTTTCATACCAGGGATGAAGGCAGGTGTTTGGAAGGGAAGAAAATAAATCAAATGCAAACATAACAGTTCTTTTTATATTTTATTAATCTTTTAAAATGTAATCAAATTAAAATGTAACAAGTTTTTGACTAACAAAGTGCTGCACAACAGATATTTCCTGTTTAAATTAAAACATGGTCGAAAAATAGTGTGATATTCCTTAAAAAGTATTTTAATAAATTGTATTATTATTATTACTTTGAGAAGTACATTAAAGTATATAATATTAACTTGTAATGAAGAGCTTTGAGTGCCACACGGTTTTGCAATTTTGTGATATTCCTTAAAAAAAGGAATTATTATTGTCATTACTGTACAATATTAATATATTTTTGTGAAAATGTCCCCAAACTGAACTTTTATTTTGCTGTTTTGTAGTAAAGACCTTTGAGTTTCTGTGTTTATTTGGTATGCTTTATGGTGAAATGTTTGTGTTTTGTGTTTGTTTTAATATATCCTTTTTCCTTTAGAAATGTGTCATAAAGTGGGTTATAAACACCACTTCCTGCTGACTTTAAATGTTGATTGATTTAGCTTCAGTTCTACATGTTTTGTGCCGTTTTCTTGTCTTTCTGCGTTCCTCCTCGATAGGCGTGGATGGATGCGTTAGCTGAGGCAGAGCTGGATGATGCTGAGGATTTCATGGAGAATGAAGCATCGTCCGTGTTGCCGAAGCTGCTGAAGGAGAGAGGCTCTGTGCAGCTCTCCAGCATCCAGGAGCCTGTGATGGTCAGAGGTTGGCCCATCGGTCTGGCCATGGCCTCTGCTCCCAGCATCACCGTCTCTCTGACAGCCACGGGTTTCCAGCGGATCATGTCTATGATGGCCTGTCTGAAGATCCCATTCAGACACGGAGAATACAAAGTAAAGACCAACCAGTTTGACCAGGGTGTGGCGTCTATCAGAGCTCAGCCACGGGTGAGAGACGCTGCTAACATACCGTTTACTCATTATCTCGAGTGACCATGAATTATTCCAGGAGAAATACAGCTTACACTCATTGTTTTAGTATTATTTATATACTATTAAAGTATTTATTAATATTTATTTTTATATTTTCAGTTTTCATTTTAATTTCAGGTTTCAAGTTTAAGTTTTAGTAATTTTGTTATGTGCTTTTGTCATTTATAATTGTAATTTTTTTTTATTCTACTTATTTTTATTTATATTTTAGTTTTAGAAATTTTAGTGCTTCAACTTAAACTGATTAATTTAATTTAGTTGCCAAGGTAACATGTCTTAGTTTTAAGTTTGTTTTTCATCTAATATTTATATTATATTTTATCTTTATTTTTAGCTTTATTACCGTAAACATTTTTTTTGTAGATTTAGTTAACTATAATAACACTGTGTGTAAATCACGTTTACTCAGAGGTAGATAAAATTATTACATTTTAATGTGGATTTGTTTTTTTTCTTGGTGAATAAGTGCAAGGAACATGTATTATGAAACTTTGTAAAAAGTATTATTTATATACTATTGTATTTAATTTTTTTGTAGTAATTTTGTAATGTGCTTTTATATTTTTTAATATTTCTATTTAGCTTATTTCTGTTTTAGTAGTTTTAGTACTTCAACATAAGTTAATTGCCGCAGTAACATTTCTAATGTTCATTTCAGTTTTTTTTATGTAATATTTGTTCTATTTTATGTTAGCTTTATTTTTTAGATTTATTACTTTATAAACGGTTTTAAATAATAATGTTTTTAGTAGACAGTAACACTGTGAATCAAGTTTACTCAGAGCTGTATTATTTTAGTGTTGATATACTCTTATAGTTTTTACAAATATTTTGAATTCAATTTTTTATATTTTCTCTTATGCTTTCAGTTTAATTTTGGTTAAAGTTTTAGTCATTGTATGTTTTTGTCATTTGTATTAGTTTTTTAGATTTTTAAATATGTCTGTAAAGTTATTAATTTTTATTTATTTGTTTTAGTTATTTTAGTACTTCAAGTATTTACTTAAGTATTTTATTTCTGCTAATTTTCAAGGAAAAACAGTACAAATACAAGTCAAATAAAGTACAAAAAGTATAAAATAATGTGTAAAAATAAAAATGAACAAAAATGTTTATGGCTTTAGTTAACTATAATAACCCTGACACATTTTGATGTGAGATTATAAAGATTTTTCCTTGAGTGAATCATGCTTTTATGCTCAAATTAATCTGAGAACAACCTGAAATATTGCTTTAACTGCTGTGTAACTCTGTTTGTTCTGACAGGGCTCCATTAAGATGCATCTTCAGAGGTCTCCGCTGCTCTACGCTGACATGCACCCAGTGCACAAGACAGACGTGGTGACCGGACTCAACCAGATCCTGCTGGAGAGAACCTGAGATTTCATGCTGTTAAAAGCTTTCATGCAATCAGTGCACCTTTCAAATACACTACATTAAGTGATATTAAACATTTAGCCTTATTGCCTTATTGTTAGCGCAATTCAGTGTTTAGTTGTATTTACTCTCTCAGGTTTCAGCATAAAGCACAAGTGCCTTTTAATTCTGCTGCATTCAATCAGTATATACTTTAAAGCGTTTTATAACCATTACTTTATACTAGCATGATCTGTCATAATTTAAATAATGTTTCTTGCACAGATTGAAAGTGATAATTGTAGCTAAAATTTCAGTTTTTATTCATAAAGTGCTGCTAATATATACCAAAATCAGGTATTTTTAAAACATCTCATTTGATTTCTGTCAATATCAGTTACAAACTGATAACAGGCTTTAAAACATTGTGATGTTATTAATGATACTATTAAGTTATTATAATGAAAACTGAGGGAGATACTGGAGAATATAGTATTCATAATATTATTACAAGTTTTGTACACTTTCCTTGGCATCTTTTTTTAACTTTATTCGTTGCACAAACACTACTGGGGGAAAGCCATTGTTTCAGCATTGCTGTTGATGCTCTTACCAAAGCAAACTGAATTAATACACTTTTTGCATTTGTATCCGAACTGTATCATTTTGTCAGATTTTTTACTTTTTGTTGTTTTAGACTGAAATGTATTTTCAAACAGCAACTGCTCACAGGCACAACACGGCATTCCTTTTTTGGTTTTGAAACGTTTAATTGCATGCATAAACTTCTTTTATGACCAAAAATAATCAATATATCTGTATATTTATAATCTCAGGGCATTAATCAGCAAAACATGTGACTTGTAAACAGGTTTTCTAGTACAACACAGTACTACTTTAACAAACACCTTGTCAAGCTTTGATAATGCCAATATAGATTATTACAGGCTTCTTCTGTTTTTGGTGTCTTTTTTTACACATTCTGTAGTGTGGAATATTAATTATAAAATCCATGTAATTAATTACTGACTGCTGTGTCTGTGACAACACAAAGCAGCAATATGTTGAGAAAACATACACTATCAACAAAAATAATTTGGAACACTAAATGCTAGAAAGCTTGAGAGCAATTTTATTGTAAAAGTTCATTTGTCAGGTATAAATATAAATTCAGTAGGGTCCATCTATGGCAAAACCAGTTTCTCAGTATCTCTTCAAACCTCTGAAGAACAAACCGTTGCGTGAATGCTGTCATTACTCCAAAGATTGACTCTAACAATAGTTCACCCAAAAATAAAAATATACTCACCCTCAGGCCATCCAAGATGTAGATGAGGTTGTTTCTTCATCAGATTTGGAGAAATGTAGCATTGCATCACTTGCTCAGCAATGGATGCTCTGCAGTGAATGGGTGCCGTCAGAATGAGAGTCCATTCCCATTCCAGTATAAACATCTTGATGGATTTGTTTCTTACAAACACACAGCTTTTGACTTCTAGAGATGTTAACTGATGGACTGGAGTGGATTGCTTGTAGATTATTGTGATGTTTTTATCAGCTGTTTGGACTCTCATTCTGACGGCACCCATTCACTGCAGAGCATCCATTGCTGAGCAAGTGATGCAATGCTACATTTCTCCAAAACTGATGAAGAAACAAACTCACCTACATCTTGGATTGGCCTGAGGGTGAGCACATTGTCAGCAAATTTTAATTTTTGCATTGCATTACATTGTTCGCATTCAAAAGACATTGGTGTAATACAAATTTTACATTATTACATCATTTTTGTACAAATTTTATGCATTTGTGTTAGGAATCGGTCCATATGTGACAGTTCCATCCAATCAGAATTCATCATCGTCATTCTCCGTTTCTGTCGGTTCAATAATTTTTAAGCACTGATCAGCAAACTCCACAAACAGCGGCTCCTGCATGGCGTCTTTCATGGCTTTGGCTTTATCTTCAGCCGAGTCCACAGACATCATTAACCGCCGGAGATGAGGATTCCTCAACAGACCCTTCAACGCCTCTGAACCACCTGTGTGAATGAAAACCATCTGTAACCATCTCTCACAAAAACAGCACTACAGATCGTGTGAATAGAGTGTTTATCATTTCATACCCAGCTGCTGAAGTTTCTGTAATGGCACTTTGTCAGTCTGACTGTCTTCATCAAGAAGATCCTTGACAGTCCACGGCTGTTCCACTGAAATCAAACATTTCACTTGAAACTTTTCATTTTCTGTTCAAAATCATCATCAAAAGGAGAGAAAAGTTCTCTTGATCACCTATAAAGCATTAAATGTGTTACAGGCCTGAGTGATGATCATTTACTCACCGCTGTTCACTGGTGTCGAGCTGCTGGAGGCTGGATCTGATTCTTTAACTGGATGACATGAGTCTATGAGAGGAAGGAAAAATAATGACTTCAATAGTTTGTTTTTGACTGATTTTTGGCTTGGTGCTCAGGACAGTCAATAATAATATTTAAATTAGTAATAATAAAATAAATTAATACAATAATAGGTATTATAATTATAATAGTCTATACATATATATATATATATACAAAATAAATTAATATAAAAAACAACAACAATAGTGTTTTTTTTAAGTACAAACAGTAAAACGTGGCGCAAGCAACGGCATGGTGATGGGTTCGATTCCCAGGGAATGTATGAAATGATAAAGTGTAAACACTGAATGCAACGTAAGTCGCTTTGGATAAATGCACATTGTAAATTTTAAATGTAATCTAAAATAATGTCAATATAATATATAAGTAGATACTTACCATCATCTCTGTGTCTTTTAAAGCAACTCACTGAACAACTAGAAGGAAAAGAAATGTGTTATTTGATCAGTATTGTTTTTTTTCCAAAAGCAAAAGTGAGCTGATAAAGGTATTTATGGTATAAACTGGCAGTTACCGAACATGAATAAATGACTTACTATCTGATTCTGCAGGCTGGACATCTGTATTTAGGAACATGTTCGCTACAAACTCCACAAAGCTGCATAACTGATCAAGAAGACCAACAAGCAAACAAACAGAATATAACAACGTTTATATTAAGCAGCTTTCAGTTACTGGAACCACGTGTTTATGGTGTTGTTCTTCTTCTTCTTCTGTTTTTTGGCGCGTTGCATCCTGTGCGCATATCGCCACCTACTTTTGCTTTTATGCAGTCATGGTTTATTTATAATCAATTTCTTCCTTGTTTTTGCTTTTCCTATTCTTACACATGTAAACACACGAATACTCCTACTTAAATAATTATTCGATCCATCGATTCGATAAATGATGATGCTCCATCCCATTCCTTCTCCTGCGTGTTCAGCTCCTCCAGACTAAATCCGTGGTCTCCTAAAGATCCAGAATAGAATAGAGCATCCGCATTCTATATTTAAATCCTTTCACTTAACCCAGTAGTATATATGTATTTTATTAATATCCTGTAACCTACTACTCTATCTCTATTAAAATCATATCCTAATAAATATTCCAAATCCTTATTTACCTTAGCTTTTTTGTTTAAATATGACATTAATTCCTTTCTTTCTTCATCATACCTTGCACAGTTATATATTACATGCTCCACTGTTTCTTTATGTTGTTGACAGCGTGCAGGACTTTTAACTAATTTCCGAGCGCTTCCGGTGTAGAGTGCTGAGGTCACGGTGTCCTTCCTTCTCCACGTGTGTGTGCCAGTCAGTGTGATCCGCGATCTAAACTCAAGCGAACACAGCCGCCGTCATGCTGAAGTCTGTGAGCCGCGCG